TTGTGTGAGGGGTAGGTTTAGGGTAAGTGGATAGAAACTACAGTTTGTACAGTAGAAAAACCATTACACTTATGGAATGAACCCATCAAACATGGAAACCTAACGTGTGTGTGCATGTGTGCGTGAAGCCGTGTGTTTACAGTGTTGTAGTTGCATTGTGAAATTATATCATTGACATATTCCATTTCTTAATTTACAGATTATTACTTACTTTCCTCAGATTCTGTGTTAAATGAGTTTCTAATAGTTACTCTCTGCACGTTCTTTATTTCATAATATGCAAATATGTCGAGAGCTGGTCTTCACATTCGTCATCTCACCTCCCAAACGAGCATGTTTAATTAACGAGCCGTGATTAATGGCTCATGAATGCAGAAGGTTTCTGTGATGTGTTAATGACAGCTGTCAATCACGTGAATAACTGTGAGTGTTCTTCATGTTTCTTCAGATTTCTGATGGAGACGCGAGCAGCAGCAGGTAAAGACGCTCCTTCTTCTCTTCTCTTCTCTTCTCTTCTCTTCTCTTCTCTTCTCTTCTCTTCTGTGTTGAATGGGTTTGTCCCTCCTCCTCCGTCTCTCTCTGGTTCCTCTGTAGTGTCTCAGACTCAGCTCTGGTTTTGTAAATGTTGCTGTGTGTTTAGAGGTAGAACACGCGTGTGCACACGCTCATCTGATCATGACACGCAAGCTTCACAGACGGTGAGTGACACGCGTGTGAAGTGCTGCATGATTGCATGTCTGTGTTTCTCTGCTCTCGGCTCTATTCACTGATATTTCACTGATAAACTGTTGGATAATGACAGATGATGGGTAATTCTGAGGTTAACACAGCTGTTATTGATAGTAGTGTTTCTGTGCTTCATTATGACGAGATCTCTGCTAGTAAACGCTGCTCATTTGATGGAGTTTAATGAGCTTTCAGAGAGAAACAGGATGAAGTGTCAGACTACCCACTTCACTTTTCCATGTTTTACTGTTTTTTTTTTTTTTTTTTTTTTTGGGGTATTTTTTTTTTCC